GCGCCCCCCAAGCTGCCCAGCCCCCCAGCCCACCAGCCCAGCCCAGTCCCGGGAACCAGACGGCCTGGGGTTCGGTCCCGGGGGGAGGGGAGTTTCGGGGGTACCGGGCGGGGGAGTCGCGAGCCAGAGGGGAGGGGGCCGCGGGTTTCATGTACCCAGCATGAGCTCCTACTTCGTCAACCCCCTGTTCTCCAAATACAAAGGCGGCGAGTCCCTGGAACCGGCCTATTACGACTGCCGGTTCCCTCAGAGCGTGGGCAGGAGCCATGCGCTGGTGTACGGGCCCGGCGGCTCGGCGCCCGGCTTCCAGCACGCTTCGCACCACGTCCAAGACTTCTTCCACCACGGCACCTCCGGCATCTCCAACTCAGGCTACCAGCAGAACCCATGCTCGCTTAGCTGCCACGGAGACGCCTCCAAATTCTATGGCTACGAGGCGCTCCCCAGACAGTCCCTTTATGGGGCTCAGCAAGAGGCGAGCGTGGTGCAATATCCCGACTGTAAATCCTCCGCCAACACTAACAGTAGCGAAGGACAAGGCCACTTAAATCAAAACTCGTCTCCCAGCCTCATGTTTCCATGGATGAGACCCCACGGTGAGAAGCCTTTTCTCTTTCCCCCTTGGTCTCCCGCGCTCCGGGGTCTTCCCCCCTCCCTTGCCTCCTTTTTGTCTGCCCTCGCTTTCCCTCCTGGCTTTGGGGTCTCTCCCTCCCCACCCCCGTGCCTGGGTCGGTTTCTAGAGGTTGGGAAGGCTTCGCTAAGGATGGGGTGTGAGGGGGTGCCTGGGACATTGGGGGGGTTGGGGTGAAGGTGGAGGAAAGGTGGTGTGTGTGTGTAAAGGGTTAAAAATCGTTTCCTCCATCTGTTTCCCCATCTCTAAAGTCAAAGTTGGGGAGGTGGTTGGGAATGGTACCCCCCAGTACCCTGAGGTTACCAGCCTTTGGAGCAAACCAGTTTCTCCAAAGCCAGACAGCCTGGAGTTCAGGACAGTGGCCAGGCTGTAGTGGGGCCAGAGGAGACCCCTGTTTCTCTCCCCTAGCCAGAGAGTGGTGAGACTCCAAGGATAGACTCTCTGGCTCTCTGGGGTACCCACTGCCTCCTCCCAGAGAACTAGCCTGAGGGCCAATACCCCAACTTTTCTATACTTCCTTTAGTTGCAGAGAAGACAGGAAGCCTAACAAGAAAACGAAAAAAAAAAACCTAGTTGCTCAAAAGGAGAGGGGTCATAGAGATTAGGGGTCTCTGAGTTCCAGAGGACCATAACCAGGCTCCCTCCAATTAAGAGCTTGTGGGGTCTCTCTGAAACATGCAAATCAGCTCAGGTCTTGAGCCCCTCCAAGGGTGGCCCCTCACAGCAGCCCAATTTCGAAGTACAGGGGGAAGCGATAAAGCGACAAGTTCCGGCGGGGATGGCCAGTGATTTATTTGCTGGTCTCCAGTTAGCAATCAGGCAGAGCAGTGATAGATTCCAGTAGATCAATTTTTTTTCTTATTGGAAAAGCATTAGGTAGAGAGAGGCAAGGAGGGGGCAGTGGGCAGAGCCCTTTTTCATCCCTAGCTCTTTTTCCTTTTGGAAAGAGACTCTATCCCCAGCTCTGCTCACTAAATACCACTCTGCATTTGTAAACAAAGCTGCAAGGGTCAGTTTCCTAGGATTGCAGGCCAGGGGGATTCTGCAGGGCTCCCCTGGCTCTTTCAAACCCCCATTTTTCAAGAAGATCCCAGTCCCTGTCCCTACACCCACCCCACCTCCCAAGGTGAAACCAAACCAAAACAATCCCCCAAACTTTACAGCACTTGCCTGCCTTATGCTCTTGCCTTTTCCACAGAAGGGTGGAGATCTGGGGATATCAGAGGAGGGATTTTAAGGGAGGACGAATGGCAGGTTGGAAAACCAAGCCCCCCAGGCCCAAACATAACCAGACTGGGGTTCTGTTCTGTCCAGCTCCGGGGCGTCGCAGCGGACGGCAAACTTACAGCCGGTATCAGACCTTGGAACTAGAAAAGGAGTTTCTCTTTAATCCTTATTTGACACGAAAGCGCCGGATTGAAGTCTCTCATGCCCTGGGACTGACCGAGAGACAAGTGAAGATCTGGTTCCAGAACCGAAGGATGAAGTGGAAAAAGGAGAACAACAAGGATAAACTGCCGGGAGCCCGAGATGAGGAGAAGGTGGAGGAAGAAGGAAATGAGGAAGAGGAGAAAGAAGAGGAGGAAAAGGAAGAAAACAAGGACTAAGCAAAAAAGAGAGATTCCCCCCCTTTTAGCAACTCCCTTGAAGTTTCGTTTTATGGTAGCAGATAAATTGAGAAGTTTACGACTGTCATTTGCTTTTATAGAGAATAGAATGACACTCACAACTCTAACTACCTGTCAGATACTTGCAGCTCTGGTTTTATTACCTTTGGACTTCCCCCACTCTTTATTTGTTTGGGGGCTGGAGGGGGGAGGTCGAGACGTAGCAAAAATTTGGACTCTGTCTCACTACTTGCCCCAACACACACACTTGTCCCTACCCCCACCTTTCTGAGTCCTTCCTGGATTTTAAGGTCTGAGACCTGGCCTTCTTGCTCCCACCCTCTGCCCCTTGCCACACTCCCACCTCCCTGCAACTCTGAGTATTTATTTTAGAGGGGAGCCCCCTCAAAATGTGGAAAAGGACTTGTAGCTTTGTTTTTAAGCTAGTTAATGTACTAGATTTACTTTTTTAAAAAGGAAAGGAAAGAAAAAAAGAAAAGAAGGAAGGGAAAGAAAAAAATGTAAAGAAATATGGAAAAGATAGCAAGAAATATCCCCTCACACTCCCTGGGGCTCTCGGCTTAGAAACCCCCCCATGACTTTCTCTAGGAACCTGAAGGAAACCTGAAGGACATGTGGGTCTCTTCCCTCCCCTCTTTCCATAGGGGTAGATGGAAGCCTGCAGTCCCCTCTAAAATCCTACCTAGCCATCCCATGGTCACTCGGGCCCATGCCTTCCTCTCCTTTGTGGTTTGATTTCTCTTCTGTTGGGCCCAGCTTCCTCTGAGCTGCATTATTAGTAGTGCTCAGAAATCATCATAATCATGAAAATAATAATAATGATACTGATAATAAATCTTTAACATACTACCTAAAGGGAACCTGCAATAATCTTGAAAAAAAGAAATTTTTAAAAATCCTACTATAGGAGAAAAAAAGAGAAAAAAATAAAAATGAAAAAAGAAAGAAAGAAACCTCCAACGTATTTTATCACTACCTATAGAAATAAATCCTGCTTTGAGAGTATTTGTAATGCGGTTTTGTTGTCGTTTGTTGCTGCTTATTTCACTAAGAAAAACCCAACAACTGAGACTGCCTAGCCCACCGGTCCTGTGCTCTTTTATTGTGCTTCTAACCCCAGTAGAGTAGAACTAAATTGCACTGAATGTATAGTTAACTCTGTCTTGAATTCTCTGTTTATGCAACGTGCTCGAAAGAAAAAAACGTTAAAATATATCTATAATAATAATTTTTGGTCATTTGTCTTTATGTCCAGCTATGAATGTAGATTTTGTGTCCCGACAACCCTGTTCCTGGTCCAAGTACTTTGTATTGTATACGTGAGTCATAATAAAAAAAAATGGAGAAAAATATTCGAAGCTGGAATGATTTGCTTTTTCTCCATAGCTCTCCCCCATTCTCTACCATTTCCTTCTATCCCCCTTTCCCAACAATCTGGAAAAGGTCTGTCTGTTCCACTGACCTGGCTCTGGGATGGAGGAACTCACATGGAGAGGAGCCTGGGAGTTGAGAGGGCAGGCAGGGCTGGGAGGGCAGGTGAAAGGGATGGGGGGGTTGAGACAAACAGTCCATTCGTTGGGAGAGGAAGGGGTATATTAGTATGCTCTTAGGGGAATCTTGTCTTTAGTGTGTTTTTAGATGCTAGCACCCCAATAGGAAGAAAGATCTCCTTACTCATCCACCCTCCTCAGCTCTGGGCTGGGCCCAGACAAAGAAAATCTGCCCCAGGGCCCTCCCTAAGCTATGCCCTTTTTCTTCCAGGGGCTGGGGCTTAGGATGGGGCAGTGGGTTTTTTTTCTGATCTGCACATGCCCCTCGTGGCCAACCCTTGGCCCTTGGCACCCAACACTAGAATAGTGGACAGAGTTGGGGGAGTATGAGGCTCAAAGGCAGTTGACCTGTCTGCAGAGCTTGTCTGGAACATACCTAAAAGTGGGGGATACAAAGTATGGGGGATGAGGAAGCTTAAGCCTGAAGGAGAGGAAAAGAGATGGGGAAAGTGACTGAGCTGGTAAACAACCAGCCTGAGTCGACATCCTGAAATATAAATTTAGTCATTGGCACAGAGATATCACAGTCACTCGACCCCCCATTTATGTCCACTCCAGCCTCTGTTCTAGCTATTTCAAACAGGCTCCAGGCTTTACCTTGGCAATTGGGCAGCTTGCCCTGGCCCCTATAATGTGGCCATTGGTCCTGGGGATGGGTCTGCTGAGTGGACAGACCCCCACCTCAGCCAAAGCATCTAAAGAGAGTCTCCATTGGAATTTTCATTCCCCAAAATAAAGAGTTGAAGGCTCAGAGATCCAGGGGGCAAAGGGCTCTCTTACTTCTCTCTGCAGAGTCCTAGACTAAAATCTGTTTATGCCAATAAGATTCTGGTCAAATAATCACAAATTCCAGAGATACAAGTCTTCTGACTCAGCCAGGAGAGGGGGAAGGGGAGGGAAGGGGCTCTTCTGGTTTTAAAAACCAGACCCCCAAAGACTGAAGGCAAATATTTTTGAGGCGAGATTTCTCTTACTCTCTCTCTGCTGGTCAATGATTTTTCCAGACCTAGCCCAGGCCAACTCTTGTTTTTATGTATTATAATTTCCCTGGGGTCCGGGGCCCTGGCTCCCGGGCAAAGTGGTCCTAAGTACAGGACTGGGTCAGGCTTCGTTTATAAGGGACTCCTGCTGTCCGAGAAAGGCTGAGGATTGGAAGCTTCAGGGCAGCTGGAGACAGCTTTGAGCAGGAGCGGGGAAAATCTAACTTGGGGTCCCTGCTGCAAGCTGCGGCGCCAGACAGGTAACCTCATTTGCTGTGGGTGACACTGGCTATTCGCTAGCGAGACCTGAAAAGACTGCATTTCGCTAAGACCTCAGGCCTTCCCACGAGCGTGCCCTTCATACTCCCAGGGACAGCTAAGAGCCGTTTCATTTTAAACATAGAATTATTATTGCTATTAATAAAAATATTTGGCTCCGTAGCTGAGCGGACAAACCCAACATGAAGTAGCTCTGAAGGGTCTTCATTGCTTTTCTCCCACACCAAATGTCCCATTCATCCCTGGACCCGCTGCTCAGCAATGTCCGTGGCCCCAAGCCTGGTGCGGCGGAGGGCGGGGTGCGTCTGGCGCCCGGCTTCGCTAGAGATGCCAGGCATCCCTAGGGCCAGACCAAAGGAGCCCCAGCCTCCCCTTCAAGCAATACCCATTCCTCCACCCTCTTGCCCACCGCCTCTCTTTTCTCGTTTGGAAAGAAAAGGAGGTAAAAACTCATTTTATGGGGGAACATAATTGTGAGCAGGATGCTCTCTCTTTAGAAATGCGTCTTCCCAAATGTTCCCTCCGTCCCATTACCAGAATGGGGGCCATTCGGCTGCAGCAGATAGGACTTTCTTCCATTCTTTACTTTTTTATTAGCCAATCAAAGTGGCTTCCGAAAGCTATTTGTGATTTGTGAAAAATAGTATCTTTCTAAATGCTGAGTTGAAGCATCTCGCTCATTGCGCCTTGAATTTATTATTCTAATCTCAGCCATAGAGACGGGATAATGCAGCTATTAAGTTGGGGGGCCAATTCGTTTCTCTGGATTCTTTTTTTTTTTTTTTTTAATTCTCGACTTTTTATCTCCCTCCCCACTCCGTTATTACAGAGGCTAAGGGAGGTGCGGGCCTGTAAGAGATGTGGGAAGGGGAAGATTTAGAGATGTTGTGAGCTTCCCCCCACCTCCGAAGGGCTCCTTGGGGGGCCCTTGAATGGCAGAATGGGCTGGTCTTCCAAACCTCGTCTTCCCCAAATGAGATGTCCCGGGGACTGCCCCCACCCCAATTAGAGAGATCTCAGAACAGGTTGTGCCACAGACTAGAAGTAAAATTTCCGGTAAGCTGCCCGCAGCGCTGTCCCATTCTCCCCGCTGCCCATTGTGAAAAGCTGGGCCAGTGCTTCCTTGTCGTAATTTTTAACTACCTGTTATAAAATTTATGGGTGGGTTTGTAAAAGAAACGAGGTCCCTGCATCCGGCTGAGGGAACTGTTTTGCTTACTGCGGAGGAAGTTTGAGGAGTGGATGAGGGATCCCCTATGGGTTGGCGCAAGGGCACCCAAGCTATAGAGGTTCTCATGCCAGCCCCATGCAGGACCAAGAGGAGAGCTTCCGGCCTTCAAATCTCTAGCCAGTGGGGAGAGTCACTAGGCTACAACCCTCCCTCCAGGGAAACCCCTGCTTTCCACTCTCGCAAATAATCTCTATAGGGGAATTTATTCTGGGCTCCCTACATCGCCACAATTTGGAGTCTGGAGAAAGGGTGCTCCAAATTGTAGCGCAGAAGGTGGAATTCAGAACAGTAAAAGATCCTATTTTCAGGGCCTAGGTAGCCAGTCTCAGTTATTCTGACACCCACCGAACAAGGAAATTGTTCTGAATAAGGCAAGTGGGATGTGGGCTACCTGACAAGAATTAAAAAAAACTTCAAACTGCTTTGCACGCCAAAAAAAAAGTAGGACCCAAGATCTCAGGCCTTAATTTTATATTTAATTCTGAAACGATTTCCAGTAAGACACCATTTGAATCTAGGAAATGAGAAGACCTGATGCTAGGGATAGTGGGGGGGGGGATGTCATTCCATCCGACCCTGGAGATGAGGGTCGCTTTGAGGGTTCTGGAGGCTGCCTCAATTTCTCATTTCTCCTACTGCCATGGCCAGATTGCCCCTGGAGTCTATCCCGTTAGGCTCTTCAGACCATTAGTTAAGAGGTTGCCAGCAGCTTATGGCTCCTGTTCTTGTCGAGGTAGAGTGGGTGTTTTGGGGGGCACCCCCCATACAGAGTATATTGTTCTCTCCTAGAAAAAAAAAAAAGGTATGGGTAGGAAGGGCATCTCTTCTTCACCCTCCTCACCTTGATAGCTATCACTGCCCCCAAGGTCACAAACCTTTGCAAAGCTTTAATTACCCTAGATCCAACCTTAATACCCCCATTTGTTAAGGAAAATATTTAAAATTCGGCACAGTGAGGAGAGGCAGTTGCCTGAACCCTTCGTTCTTTCCTCCCCTCCTCCGCCCTCTGCTCTTTCCTTGCTCGCCTGGAGCAGCCGGGTCCGTGGGGAGTGGGCGGTGGGTGGGGGTGGGGTGGGGTGGGGGTCAGGGGATGCTCCCTCTCTGAGAGAATTGGGTAAACATGGCGACCGCGGCGCCCATTTGCACACGCTACACAAATGCATCGCATTCCCGGTTGTTTGCAGAAAATTTACAGCTGAGTAATAAAAGTTTACGATCGACTCACAAGTTGGATTGGCCACAAGAAGTCATGTGGATTCCATCCATGAACGTGAACTTTTTATTGTGGTTTGTCCGTTCGGAGCGCTCCGCAGAACAGTCCTCCCTGTAAGAGCCTAACCATTGCCAGGGAAACCTGCGCTGGGCGCTCCCTTCGTTACCAGTATATATATATTTTTATTAATCTGATTAATAACTATTTTCCCCCCATTTAATTTTTTTTTATCCCAGGTGGAGTTGCCGAAGCTGGGGGCACCTGGGGAGGGTGGGGATGGGAGGGGAGAGGCAGGAATTGAGGGTATCTCTCATTCTCTCTCTCCCTTCCCGACCCTCTGGCCCCCAAGGGGCAGGAGGAATGCGGGAGCAGGAGTTGAGATAGGGAGCTGCAGATGCCTCCGCCCCTCCCTCTCCCAGGCTCTCCCTCCTGTCCTCTTGCAACTCTCCTTAATTTTATTTGGGTTTTTTATGGTTAGGATTATTCTTTTTTATTTTTGAATTCATATAAAGTATATATGTGTGTGTGGAGCTGAGACAGGCTCGGCAGCGGCGCGGAATGAGGGAAGACGAGAAAGACAGAGAGTGGGAGAGAGAGAGGCAGAGAGAGAGAGAGAGAGGGAGAGTGACAAGCAGCGCCCGGTAAGTGTTTCCTTATTGGTTCAAATATGTAACTAATGGTCCGTAGCTGGGTGGCGGTTTCAAGATAAGGACAGCAGCGGCTTGTCTCGGTTAGAGAGGAGAGGGGGCTGGCGAGAGGGTGGGCGCGTGGGTAATTATGGGGAGGAAAAGGGGAGGGGGAGAAGTGGGGGTTAAACCGTAATACTGGTAACTGGTAACTGAGCGACTGTGAGTGTGTTGTCTTGATGTCAGTGTGCGCCGAAGTTGGGAGCTCGGGGGCAAGGAGAGTATGCCTGAGTGGCGCAAGCCTGCGGTCTAGGGTGCCGGCCCTCTGTCGGATGCCCACTGTGTTGGTACCCATTTATTATAGATCTTTGGCCTCTTGGCTAATGACACTGGGAAGGAGGAGCTCTGGAAGCTCAAAGTCCAGGGCAGGAGACGGAACCTGTAGGCTGTACCCATTGCTCCCCGAGCAAAAGTCAGCCCCCAACCCCCAAACAAACTTTCCAGCGCCCCCTCCCTTTCTGGCAGCTCCCTCCCTCCCTCCCGGAGTGAGCGAGGGCCAGAGCTCACACATGCGCAGTGTGGGCCCAGGGCCGGGCCGCCGAGCAGGAAGCTAGCGCAGCTAGGCTAGCGGCTGGTTCTGTTAATTGGCAATTAGGGGGGAGGCTGGTAGCTGGTGCGCGTCAGAGGGGAGAGCGTCTGCCCACCCCCTGCTCCCGCCTCCACCCCAGCGGATGGAAGGGTGGGAGGTGCCCGGCGTTGGATGGAGGGTGGGGGTGGGGGTGGGGGATGCGGTACTAAAAAGCCATCTTGTGCTCAAGAAGAGAGGCCTATACGGTTTCCCTACTCTGGTCCAGCACCCCCACCACCACCAACCGCGGCCATCCCACACGGGATGCCCACTGGGCTGCTTCATCCGCCTTGCATGGTTGCTCTAGGCTAGGAACTGCCTTGTCTGGGGCGGAGGTGGGAATGAAGGAGGCCCTAGGATGGGCGGGGACAGGACCAGGCCTCGCTGCCTGGGCCTTCTGGGTCCTGTGAAGGCTGTGAGGACTCTAGGGGCTTCAGAATGGGGAGGCCGGGAGAGTCCTGGGGGCTCAGGATCTTCTTAATAATTGGTGCTAATGGTGTGTTGTATAGTCTTAACCTGACACATATGGTTTCATAACACAGTGGCTTAATTTCTTCCAAATGTACGTGGCCCTGAATGTGTTGCCGTTTGATATATGACCCCGCCCTGTTCCCCAGCCCGGGTCCTAGGCGGCACCTATATGTGCGAGTTTCATAAAGGGCGATCACACTCAAATGCTTATACACTCGGGCAAACACACCCCACAGCTTGGGGATGGTGCATATTACTGGGGAGTTCCGAGAGTATGGGCCAGACTCACCTTCAATGCAAGCCAAGACTCACCCCCCTCCATCTTCTCCCTGAGGCACGACTGGGATTCTGAGCCAAGCTCAGTGGGGGAGGGGTCGCTCCACGGTTTCCTGTTTAAACCCTGACTGGTCGCCTGTGTGTGGTGGGGGGAGTTTGAAGGGAGGGAGAAAACTCTTTTTTATCAAATTCTTAAAAGTACAGTTTGACTTGAATGTATTCAAATCAAACCCCTTGGCCCCAAGCTGACGGTGAATCTTCTCTTCCCTCCCCCCGCAATCTTCTTCTCTTCTTCTCTGCCCCCCCAAAATTCCCCTTTAGCAGCGGACATAAAGGCCTGTGAGGTATTCTCCCGGGGGAAGAAATGGCATTTTCTCTCCCCCTCCCCCCCCATAGCACTAGTGTGCAGGCAGAGGCGTCTGCCGAGGGGCTAATTTCGCGTTCCTTGTTTACGATCGAGAAAAGCGCTTGGCTCTCCCCAAGTGGGCCCAGCCCGCCGCCTGCGCCGGCTGCCGCGCGCTCTTCCGCAGCTCAGGCCGGGTCCACAGGCTGACGCCTCAGTTATCTGGGAGCAGCAACCGGGATCTGGAGTCTATGGGACCTGAAAAGGGCAAGGGGAGTACGGTGGGACAGTGGAGAGGCCAGAGAGGCCCGAAAATGGGAGCCTTTTTCCTGATGTAATATGGGAATCGCCGACCGGTGAGGTCTCTATTTCTCTTTTGCCTGTATTTTGTCTGCCCCTTCCTCTATGGATGGACACATTGATTGGGGGGTGGAGTGAGGAGCATAAGTCACCCTTGTTCGCCTTGAAATAAAAAAAAAAATCTTTTCCGAAGAAAGCCCTTAAGGCCTGTGGAGATTCACCTAGAATATTAGAGGGATCCCCTCCCATCAGAAGGGCGGGCCTGGGTGAGGCTGGGGTATTTCTCTAGGCCTACAGGAATCTAACTGGGTGTGCTGACAGGGAGATTTTGGGGTGCTAGAGCTTGAGGCTGAGCGCTTAACAACACTATCCTGAAGTATCTCTCTATAATATTTTTATCGATTTTTTTGTTCCTTCCTGGCTAGAGTTCTACAGGCCCCCACCTCATCCTATGCCCTTCACCCCTAGACTGTGCTCCTGAAGAAGTAAGCAGAGAAAACAGCAGCAGTGCCTGACTGTCCCTGGCATTCCAGTCTGGCCAGGGAATAAACCAGAGCTTAACAGACCTTATCGCCAGCCCCCTGCTTCTTAGTTACTTTCGCTTTTCTTTTCCTTCTTTCTCTCCATCTCTAGTGTTCAAACAGAAACATTAAGAGTGGCAACCCTCAGCCAAATTCCCTGCAGACATGGTCCTTTCTGCAGGAGAACTCTTCTGTGATTATCTAATAATAGCCGATGTGGCTGAAAATAGAATCTGGCTCAAAAACTCTGCACACCCAGGGCTGAGGCTGGGCAGGGACACTCAATCTGTGGGTCAGGGCCTGGCAGCATTTCCTGGTGCTCAGGGCCCCAGTGTTCCCCTCAGAGCCCACTCTTTGGGCATCCTCAGGCCTGCCCCTTAAGGGGGGCTTTGCCAGCTCTGCCATCCGCTGTATTTCATGGCTGGTTCCTAGCTAAGGAGAAATAGGCAGAGCAAAACCCTTTCTCTCTGTGGTCTGACAGTTGTGATCTCCATGGAGAATGCGACCTTGTTTGGATAAAGTGACCTTGTTGGGCTGGCTGTTGTGTTCTGAAACCAGACTTGGTACCGTTCGTTATACATTTATTATGTACAGGCTTAAATGTACGGACTCAGACTTGTGAATGAATATATACAGACTCATATTTCTTTGGTGTTTAGTTGTATATTACCATGCCTATATTCACTCAAATACTATTTTATGTGCATGCAAAATTTTGTTAGCCTTAACTAGATGAGAGTGGGCTCAGAGAGGCACTGGGTGCACCAGGTGCAACAGGCCCTCTGTGCATGCTGTTCTGGAAATATGTGTGCACTGGAATTGGAGTGTTTGGGTTCTAGTAACCCATGGGTGCCACAAAGGCCCTCTCAGACCTTATTGCTTTTGCTGTCCCAGCAGCTGGCTGGGGAAAGGCTAAAATCCCTTCTGCTTTCTCCTCATACCTCCCCACAAACTTTTCCATCTTAATGACTATTTTACAAGGGGAACTCAGTTGTATTGAAAGTGAATTCTATGGGACTCAGTTGTTCCTGTATGTAGGGAGCCTGCAAGCAATTCTGAATAGCTAGAAGCCTCACTGGGGGAATGAAGGGATTGGAGAGGTTAATAAGGTGGCCTCTCTGGGCAGTGGTCTGGGGTGGTTGCTGGCCAGGATGTTTGGAAAGGCTGGTGGAGAAGGCAAGACAGAAGGATTAGGTGTGCGCTCCCTACTCTTGCTTGCCCTGGTTGCTCACCGGCCTCAGATTTGCCTACATCTGTGGGGGCAGATTAGGAGCTCTCTATGATTCTGTCCCCCACATACCAAGATCAGGTTACTGGTGGAACTGCATTTTAATCCTCTCCACTACCTGAGCCAAGGGAAGGCTGGCAGGGAGAAGGCTTATCTGGGTGATGTGGAGAGGAAGGTGTGACCCTGGCCTACGGGCCTGGAGCACAGAGTATGGGCTGAGGCTGGGAATTAATGGGCCTGCTTTCCTACTCTTTCTCCCTTCCAGAGGCATGAAAGACAGAACAAGGAGGGGAAATATAAATGTCAATGAAAAATCCAGTAAAAGAAAGTAAGGACAAAAAATGAGGCTAGAGGGGTTTTCCACTGCTCCCTAGACAATCAGGTTCCTCCCAAGACTCTTGTCCAGACATGCTGCGCTGAAAGGTGCAGCAGCTTTCTTCCACCTTCCTTCTGCCCTTCACCGAGGCCGCCTCAGGCTTTCTGGGCCTTGGCCACCTGAGGTGCTGGGGTGATATTACCCCAGAACTGTGCCTCTCACCCAGCCCACCGCCTCTGCCATGGTGCTGCAGCCGCTCCTGTTTATTGTGTCTGTGAGTTGTTTACTTGTTTTGTCTGCTGCCACCCTGCGTCAGAAACCCGCCAAACCAGCAAACTCGCCCAGGAGAACAAAGTGCAGCGATACCCCCAACTCCCTCCCTTTTCCTGCAGCCCCCTCCCACCTAACCAGCTCCTTCATTCTCCTTTTCCGAGAGGCGGAAGCAGAAATTGTCTTAAAATAGGGCAGCTGTTTATAGGGTCAGGGGAATTATGGGGACACCATAAACCTCCGGGTGTCCCTGTGGTGGAGACACTTACAAACAGCCCTTCCCTTGCTTCCAGCTTTTCTTCCTTCCCCCTGGTAACCACTTGGTTAAGGGGGGCACACTCATTGAGAAAGTTGACCACAACTCCCTCACCCCACTTCCCCATTCCTTTTTGCAGGAGTTTCCCTGAGACATAGGTTGTTGAGGGTCATGTTGGCCGATTCATAAAGCTAGATAAAACATGTTGCTCTCCCCCATCCTTCCCTCAGCCCCCCAAAATAGCAGTGAATTTAAACAAATCTATAAAATTAAACTACTCCTTTGCTAAAGGTCCTATAAATCGACAATCTCACCAGCTGTAGAGTCAGAGAGGCCACTGTTAGCCTTTAATTTTGCTCCTGGCTATCAAATCTAAAAGAGTATCATTGAAGTAAGTAATATTCTC